CTTAAACATCATACTTAGTTTCTATTTTAGTTTGTTGCCTACCTTCTTGGCAAGAGATCATATTTCTATTCATTTTAAATGGCAAAAATATCTATCGATGTTCAAAACTATTCATCAATGTTGAAATCTTGGATTGAACCTTAAAACAACAGGCATGAAATAGTTTTACAACTGGAAAACCAGTGGTACCAGGCCAAGTGGGTGAAACTTTAAATGAAGAAGTGGAAGAAGTTCCTATGAGAAATTCAGGTCTCACAATTCAGAAAGGTTTTAATAAAATCTTAAATAGCAAAGATTCAATTGTTCTCAGCACATTGACAACAACCAGAGTAATATAAATTTGCCCCTGTCACGCCTATTTACGTAGAAAGATAATCTTCTAATTATAAAAGGTAAGGTTTTACAGATGCAAATTTAGCAATTTTTCTGGTAATTAATTTTAACACTGCACATGTATACAAAGTAGCTATTTCAATAGTTTATCTATTTTATGTTATTAATTCCACAATTTGTTGATTATTTTATTGTTTAATTATTTTATCTTAAAACTCAAGTGAACTCCAAAGCATCAGTAACTGCAAAATATATCAGCAAATAATGACTGAAGATCAGTGGTATTACGTGACACCAGAGCAACTTTAGGAGCAAATATGTATCTAAGACCACAAAGGTGCTCTTGAATTTTATCAGTTATTAGAATTATATCAGACCCGTCCTGGCCTTGCTGGTTGAAATGCTGACCCATCTGAAAACCCAAGTTGAAGATGTCAGCTCCAAATTCTCTGCAGTATTTATAGCACAGACTATCATGATGGAAGAAGGAGAAAACATACCAATACAGAGCTGATGGTCCTTAACTATATCATTAAGATAAGTCGAAGATGTCGGATGGGAGATATGGCAAGGATAGCCAAGGAACAAATCCCTAAGATATTGAACAAATGGCTAGGCAGATGACACACAATCTATCCTGGGTATCCAGAACTGGAGAGCAGTAGGACAGCAGAGAAATGACGAGTGGTTAATATTACAGATGGCCTTGCTCTCCAATAGAGTGTAAGCAATAGTTAAGAAGAATTTAGTAACGTTGCATGAAGGTTGTAATGAAGTTGAATTTGGAGGGAATCCTGAGGAGTTATGAATGCTTTAGTAAAAGTCAGAGAAAAAATACTCTAATAAAATCAGCCTCAAAACTTCATTTTTTAAATTTTTAGTAAAAATTTGTATTTTTAACGTTTTAAAGGATGCTTGAAACAAATCCAACTTCTTTTTTTGTTACACAAATTTTTTGGCCAACTGCAAAAAAACAATAATATAATATCTCATTTCATAGCAAGAATTGACAAGAAATCTTGGACAGGGGTCTAATATTTTTTGGCTTAATATCACTAAATAAATTTTCAATTTTTCAATAAAATTTTAAATGCTTAATTAAAAATATATTTTTTTTTTTAATCGTCATTGGTGAATGGAAAATTATAATAATAATAATAAGGCTTAGCGAACCCGAAGGTTCGATGCCGACACCACCAATCGCCCACTACACACCTCCCTCCACCGTTCGCCGTCCAAACCCAGTCCCTTCAGATTGGCTTTAATGCAATCTTCCCACCTTCGCTTCGGTCTACCCCTCGGACGCTTACCATTCGGCACAGCAAATATTAACCTTTTAGGAATTCTCTGGTTACTAAGCTCAACAACTTTACAAGCCCATTTAATTCGCCGCGACGAAATTACATCAATTATATTACCCGGATACAGCTCACGCAATTCGGCGTTGTGTAACCGTCTGAACTCTCCGGTTAACTCATCCTTCTTCGGTCCGAATATTCTACGCAATACTTTATTTTCAAAAACCTTAAGACGCTGCTCATCCCTTAATGTAAGCGGCCAAGTTTCGCATCCATAGAGAACTGTAGGCAAGATAATTGTTTTATAGATTCTAATTTTTAAGTTTCGGGACAAGAGGCGCGAACTAAGTAGTTTTGTCACAGAAAAATAACAAGCATTCCCCGCCTTCAGTCTAACCTTAATCTCTTCTTCAATTTCGTTTTTTCTAGTTATCGTAGAACCTAGATACCTAAATTTATCTACCTGTTCAAACATATTACCATCTATATCGATATCACCAGTAGTATCGCCATTTTTGCAGCTAACCATATATTTTGTTTTATCCACGTTTATTTCGAGTCCTAGTTCTTTACCGGCTTTCATTAACGTTGTCGTATTTAGTTTTATAGTTTCAACGTCTTCGCTTAACAGTACCAGATCATCAGCATAGCCCAGCACGGATGTTGTCCCGCCCAGATCCAACCCTTTCTCGGTTCGCATTACCTCCCTAATGGCATGTTCTAATGCCAAATTGAACAGGACAGGCGAAAGAGAATCCCCCTGTTTTAAGCCCGAACGAACCTCAAATTTTTCGGACAAATTATTACCGATTCTAACTTTATTGAGTGTCTCCGTCAAGCACATCCTGACTAGATTTACTAGTTTTTTTGGAATCCCCTGCTCGATTAGAATATTATACAGTTTCTGGCGGTCAATAGAATCGTAAGCCTTTTTAAAATCTATATACAGCTGGTGAACAATACCGTTATACTCCAATTTTTTCTCTAATATTTGCCGTAAAGAAAATATTTGATCAATTGTCGAACGATTCCGTCTAAATCCGCATTGGTAGTCTCCGATAATTTCCTCGGCGTATTCCGTGATTCGACTGGTTAAGATTAAAGTGAATATTTTATAACATACCGGAAGGAGTGAAATTCCTCGATAGTTATTACAATCCGTCCTCGGACCCTTTTTGTGAATCGGAATAAGAATAGATTCTTTCCATTCTTCAGGTAATTTCTCGTTCACCCAGATCTTTTTAACCAACTGATGTATTTTAGAAACTCCAGCTTCCCCGCATGCCTTAATTAGTTCAGTAGGAATATTATCGATTCCCGCTGCTTTATATGATTTTAATTTTCCGATAGCTACTTCAACTTCCTCTTTACTTGGTCCTTCTATTAACGGTTCAGCACTCTGGTACTCAGAAGGAGGACACAGATCATAATTTCCCGTATTTAAAATATTGTCAAAGTGGTCCTTAAACTTATTCAATATGTCAACCGGATCGGTCAGAATATTGTTATTATCATCCCTAATTCCAGACGTTACGGGGCCTATACATTTACGTGATCTGTTTATACCTTTGTACATGTCTCTTACGTTATTTTCGATTCTATTAGTTTCTATTTCTATTATTTTATTTTTAAGATACTCCCTTTTTTTATTTTTGAGCAATTTGGTCGTTTCGTTCTTTGAGATTCGGAAGTATTCCAAATTGTCTTCGCTAGGATTATTTAGAGCTTTTAATTTAGCGGCTTTTCTTTTTTCACACATGTTTAAGCAATCTTCATCAAACCACGGTTTGTTATTCTTATTTTCCTTTTTTCCTAGACACGAGTTACCGACCGCTTTAATATTATCCCTGATCTCTATCCATAACTTGTCAATATCCTCGTGGTCCTCGTCAGGAAGCTCTAAAGCTTCAAACCTATTCTTAACATCTAGCTCGAATTGGTTTCTAATTGATGGATTTTTTAATTTTTCCAAATTAAAATTCTCAAAATCGAAACGGTTTTCTTTTCTCTTTTTTATATTAAGTTTTTGTCGAAGTTTCGCGATTACTAATTCATGATCCGACCCACATTCTGCTCCGCGATAAGACCGTACATTAATTATACTGCTTTGCCAGCTATGTTGTATCAAGACATGATCGATTTGATTTCGTGTTTGCGAATCCGGTGATGTCCAAGTATATTTATGAATATCCTTGTGTTTAAACGTCGTACTTTTAATTATCAGGTTTTTCGAGATGGCAAAGTTTATCAGACGGATCCCATTATCATTACTATATTCGTGCAAACTTTCTTTACCAATCGTCGGAATATAAACTTCTTCCCTTCCTACCTTTGCGTTCGCGTCACCTACAATTATTTTCATGTAGTTTCGCGGTAGTTTATCATAAACCCATTCGAGTTTATCGTAAAATTCACTTTTGACTTCATCGTCACTGTCTTCGGTCGGACAATGTATGTTTATTAATGCGATTTTAAACCAACGTCCCTGAAATGTAGCTACCGAAATTCTATCACTAAAGAATTGTACGTCCCTCAAAGCGGATAGTAATCTACTCCTAATTAGAAACCCGGTACCCAAACAATGATTTCCGCTTCCTCCGTACCAAATAGTGTACTTTCCTTCCCTCATCGAGCCCTCCCCTGGCCAGCGAACCTCTTGCAGAGCCACGACATCTAAATTGTACCCATTTACCTCATTCGCGACCGATTTTAGCCCCCCTGCTGTGTTTAAACTCCTTACGTTCCACGTACCAATATTTAAATCCCTATATTTCAACTTGCGCCATGAATCCCCTAAAGCAGTCCCCACCCGGAGACCCGAACGGGGGACTAGTTTACCTCCGGATAATGAGCGTTTTACCTTAGGGAGATCCATGACTTTTTGTGGTGTTTGGTGAACTAAAGATATGTGAGTAGGGCGTTCAATCCTACGTCACACCCTCCAGCAAGTCTGGTGGGCCCCTACCTCCAGCAAGTCTGGAGGTCCCCTCCCTCCAGCAAGTCTGGAGGGCCCCTCTCATTGTTGGTCAGCAAGTCCATCGGACTTAGCCGGGAGGAACTTCCAAGGAATTTCCACCGACCATCCCCACATCCGCCACCCGTGGGACGCTCCCCATACGCGGTAATGAGCCCGCGCGAGGAATGGAAAATTATACATGAAGAATTTTTTTTGTTTTGATCAACACCAAATTCATTTGTAAATAATTCAGATTTAATCATAATCAAAATAAATCTCAATCAAATCTTGTGAAGTGAATAATTGTAATGTTTGCTTTTAATTAGATAACTAATTAATTAGTAATAATAAAAAACACTAAAATTTTTGCAAGATTTAACTAAACAAGAGCATTTAAATAAAAAAATACTAACCATTACTGCTTCCAAAAGGGGAGCTACTTTCTTCAAATTCAATTTCTCAACATCTGGACCATTATTGTGAAGACCATTTATGATGAAACCATCAACTGGTTTACTGGATACAACTTGTGCAGAAAGTTTTCTAAGGTCTACATCATAACCTCCTTCAATATTTCCAAAAATTGATATAGATTTTAAGGCCTAAACTTTAATGCATAAAAAATAAATGAAATAATATTGAAATAATAATACTTTAAATTACAAAACCAAATAATACCAATGAAGACTGATGCCGTTCCAAACATTTATCTAAAAGTTTATCACTTGAATCCATAACTTTTTGTGTTTTTTTTTTGGAAGAATCTGAATGTGTATCTCCATTAGACAGAGCTTGATAAAAATCAGGTTGAAAAGTTTCAATAATATCCATGTATCTAAAAGAAACAAGAACAATACATGCAATGAAGCTTACTATTGAAAATATTAAATATTTAATTTGAAAATTATAAAAAAATAATTTTATATTTTTCCTAAATAATCATAATTTTCCTTTTAACTCAAGAATAAATTCTAGTCCCTTACAAAAGTGTTTGAACATGATGTAAGAAATTGTAGTTGCCTACATCAATTATGTACATTGACTGATTATTTACGTGTATTAGAAGGGATTAGAATAACAGCAGAGTAAGGCAATTTTGCATTATTACTATAAGTGAATTACAAGTGAAAATATTGTAAATATACTTTAATGATTTATATATTGGGTTTTGGTTTAAAAACAAAAAAGAAAGATTTACAACTATTTCATTTAATCAAAATGGTCTCCACTACTATCAATATATTTCTGCCAACGTGTTGGCAACTTTTCTATAGTCTCAGAATAGAATTTCCCATCTTCAGAATTGATAAACTCCAACAACACATTTTCTGATTCCCTTGGTTCATTAAATTTTTTGTCTCGTAAGTAGAGGTCCAGGTGTCTAAAAAAATGATAATCCGCAGGCAAGAGTCACGGAGAGTAGGACGGATGTGATAGAGTTTCGTATCCAAGCTCCAGCAGTTTTTGTAACATCACGTGTGAGACATATGGCTGGTCATTGTCATGCAACGAAATGGCCCCTTCCATCCGTCCTACTCTACGGGACTCTTGCCAGCGGGTTATCATTTTTTTAGACACCTGGACCTCTACTTACAAATATTGACAATTTATACACAGCAAATATGATCACAAACTTACATATGTTATGATATGAAATTAATAAGAAATTGAGAATACATAAAGTATTTTTTCAGTATTTTGAGCTCAAAACAGGTTTCAAAACATTCACGAGATCTCAATCGATAATTTGAGCCATCAAACTTATAAATACATAATCCTCCTTGTGGTCTCACCATAGTTGGATAATAAACTATGAAAAATTTACTACTTTTAGCGGTAAAGAGATAAAAAACATATAATGGTGAGAGGTGACCATAACTAAAATCTTGGATATTTAAAACTCATTGTCAAAGTCAGTTGGAAATGTAAGTTACTTAAAATGACAAGATTCATAACAATGGTGTTTGTATAAATGCAAAATGAACATTAAAAGCCAAAAACCGATAAAGAAATTCCACAATAATTCCTTGAGAATCCTAACACATAAAATAACTCATATTGCACAAATAGTTATTGCAAAGCACTAGTTTCTGAAAATATTTTATACAATCGCAGAAAGAGACGGAGGAGCACGTTTGCTAATAAATGAGTTACCAAAACTTCAGAGAAATAGTTCCCTAAAAGCTCTCCCAAAAAGGCAAGTGTTAGCTTATTATTATAAAAATAGTGAAAGCCTGCCAATAACTGGTGAGGTGACCATAACTAGTGATTTACCTTATGTATATCATTTAAGTACATTTACAAAGTTTTCACTTTATGAACAGCCAAAAGTACAGAGGGAAAAGGTTATCATTTGTGTTCTTCTAAGGCACTACTGAAAAAAAGACAAAGGGCGAAGGCAGCAGGTGGTTGAGGCAATGAATGTGAAAAGTTGGTGTATTGTAAGAAGGCAGCTTTCTGGTTCAGATAGTTTAAATCTGGAACCAACAGTCTTCAAGATGAGCCTAGGTCTAACAGATCACCCTTTATAGGTGAAAGATACTGAATTACTAGTGTCTGTCAGCCAGGATCTTTTAGTGACCATTCGAGGATTATGGTTCAGAATGGAGTTTCAAATGATCTGGTAAGCTAGAAAAAAGCTTAAATACAGAAAGATACAACCCAGATCAGATTCTCAAGACTTGTAAGCAAACCAAGCTCAACAATTGATAAAAGTCGGCTTCATAATCCAGAATGTGAGAGACTTTCAAAACAAATAGTAAGAGAGCAATAAAAAATGGATGTTTCAAAGAAAATATTTGGTACCGCAAGGCCAAGAAGCTTAAGCATAGGATTGCCAAGATCGATTTCAAAAAGAGATTTGTATCTTTTAATCTATTATGATGTTAGAATCATGAAAAGATCTTTTGCACTTTGAGCAGGTTCTAGTGTGAGCGGGACTATTTACTAATTACTATTTACTGATAAGGTTTTGTAAAGTAAATCTTGGTCTCATAATCTGATAAATGGTTCTGATAAATATGATGTTCAAATTCTATTGGCAGACACCCAATAATTAGTCTAAAAGCAAGATGTTGCTCTAGATGTTATATACCTAGATTTATTATAACATGAATTAGAAACAGGCAATGAAGCACATTAGTTTTAGGCCATGTATCCACAACATCATTGGGACTTTGGTTCTGAAGATGGAAGTAAATATCCCGAAACGTAAACTTGTAAACATGCAATTTTGATAATACAACCAATACATTCAATTGTTGTTAATTGGAAGTAATCATTGCCAAATAACTAAGCCTAACATTCTCAATTTCCGGTGCGACCCAAATTTGCAATGGCCATCAAAAAAGTACAGAGACGATCAGTATAAGTATGTGGACTAAATTTCATAAGTTCGTGCCTCAAATATTTTATCCGTTTCCATTTTCCAGCTTACGCATTGAGAAACCTGGTTTATTCATGTATGGACAAAAACAATTTAATAAACATAAATAAAACACGAAGACTTGATTTCTTTTCATGGCATCACAACAAATGCCGGATACTGATCCTAGATACTTTATTGCATTTTAATTGAAGTCCAGGGTAACACCTAGTAAGTTATATGAGTGGTTTCATATCAAAAGCAGACATCATCTTTCATATTCAGAGTTGATAAAAAGTCAATGACCGTTTTATAATTTCAATGTAAACTGGTTCTGATAAGTTTTAAAAACATATGTAAGTTGAATTATGAAATAAAACATGAGAATTGTTTTAAATCTAAACTACACCACAAATATAGGTTTTTCCAAATTTATTAAAAATTACAGAGTGGTCTTTAATAAACCACTTATATAAAGTATTAACAATTGCCTATATTGAATTTGATGAGTTGACTTGGACTCTACATAATTGTTAAAAGGAAAAAGCAAATGATATTTGCGCTATCAGAACTGAAAAGTATATCTGAACAAATTCCAACAATTGAAGTTGCTCAGCTTTCAGATGGGAAAGCTGTACATCACCAACCAGAAGAGAGAGTAGTCTGCATAAGGCTAAATAAGTTGTGATTATCGATACAGCTTTTATCTTAGCATCCTACTGTTAGCTCATTTGCAACTACACTTTTGGTAACCTAAGGTTTTAAAAAAATCGGAAATTGGAAATGATTTTATATGGTTAATCAATATTTATAATATTCAAAAATGTTAATTATGTACTTGTCGGCATTAACGGCAACTCTTCCTGTATTAGACCAAACTGAAATCTGTTCCTTGGAATTATATCCTTCAGGAGTATTGATAGCTGAGTCTTGAACAGAGCAGTACGTAAGCATTTCCTGAAAAATGAAAAGTTCAATTTTTTTAAAATATTGATCTTGTAATGTCATAAATATTTTCTCAGTTTACCTTCAATCAAAAATGAGCAGATAAAATATTAGAAGTATTATGAACTAATAAAAAAATATTTCATAAATGTTTGCAAAATACCTGAGATATTATGTATTTCAAAAGAAAAAAAAATTAATAGTAAACTTTTTTACAAAAATGAGAATGTAAAAAATCAAATATATTATCTCTTCTGCAACCAGATCTACTCCACAGTCATTCAGCTATAAGTCCAGAGCCAATAACTTTCCAATTAGTTTCTGTTCTTGCTTCACCCAATACAGACTTATATGTACTTTTCAAACATTTCTAATTTTTTAATTTATTTATTCATTAATATAACATTCTGTCACACGGATTATAATTATAGTGAGGTAAGGTAACACCATATATAGAAAATATAAAATAAACAAAAGCAAAATAACAACTAAATAATAATCAAAAAGTATATTTAAAAAAATAAATATATAAAATAACTTAAAGATACGCAAATTAAAAAACACAGAAATACCTATGTACAAACAGACAGGAAACCCCAAGCCAGAGAGGGAAAAGCAGGGCTTCAGAAGATCCCTGCACCACTCTCTCAACCACATCACTGGTACTAAAGCAAATGGAGATTGAGTGAGAGCGCTTTAGCCACATACACTCATCTCTTGAGTGGAGAATGGCCACTGACAAAGCTCCAATATATATATATATATATATATATATACATATATATATATATATATATATATATATATATATATATATATATATATATATATATATAACGTAAGAAAAATTTGGTGAAGTTGGAAAGGCTTCAGAGGTTAATTGCGATTAAGATATGTAAGGGCTATCGTACACTATCATTCGAGGCCACAATATTATTGGCAGGGCTGTTGCCAATCCAAATGAAGATTGAAGAACGAACGACCTTATATAACATTAGAAAAGGAAAGAGAGGATACAAAGACCTGACCCTAGACAAAATAGAAAGAATCACTGACTGTAAATCTTGGTTACACCCTGCAACAAGTTTATGGACTGGACCGGGAATTACTTCTGAAAATACTGATGTTTTCACTGATGGTAGTAAGGACGGCGAGAATGTTGGATGTGCATGGTTGTTCAGAGCTCAAGATGGTAGGAATATAGAACATCAATATAAATTAGAATCATATTGCTCAAATAATCAGGCAGAAAAATTCGCTGTTTTAAAGGTTACTGAATACATATATGAATACCCTCTACAAACGAATACTCACGTTACTATAAATACAGACAACAAAGTTCTGCTAGACTCTGTTAATAATTGGGACATTCATGATTACTTGACTGACCAAATTAGAAACAAATTGTTAATGATGAGAACTGTAGGGAAAGTAGTGACTCTAAAATGGGTAAAAGCACATTGTGGGATTGAGGGCAATGAACGCGCCGATTGCCTTGCAAAAGAAGCAGCTAAAAGCGATTTGCCGCCATCGTATCATCAAGCTCCTTTATCGTATATTAATATGAATTTAAAGTTGGATTTCATCAAAAGATGGGATCACATATGGGTGACCTCAGCTAAGTCACCAAGCTTACACAGATTTATACCACACATTTCAATTCACAATTACAGACACATTCACAGTAATGACTACAAACTTACGCAAGTACTTACGGAACATGGGAATACAAAACAATATCTTAAAAGATTCAACATTATACAAACAGACTTATGTGATGAAGACGGACAGGTTCAAAATTTTAAACATATAATATATGAATGTAAACGATTTGACAGACAGCGATTTGAGTTAATAAAAAGCATAATTATCAAAAGAGGAAATTGGCCTGAGACGGAACAAAAGTTATTTACTGAATTCAAGACAGACTTTCTTAGATTTATTAGATCGATCGACTTCGACTTACTAACCAGGGATGGGCAGCGTAGGTGATTTCTTTTTGGCTTTGTTGGATTGACTTTGTGTGTTTAATATTTAATTTTCCGATTTAATTTTTGTGTGTTTATTCTTTGTGTTTTTTTTTGTTAATGTATATAAATTTGAACTAAAAATGTAAATCATGTGAAACTAGAAAAAAAAAACAATTGTAAACAAATGTAATTCATGTAGTATGTCTTTAAGGCATGGAGCATGAAGGAAAATCAAATAAACGATCCTTGTGTGGGGTTACCACGTAGGGAAAAAAAAAAAAAAAAAAAAAAAAAAATATATATATATATATATATATATATATATATATATATATATATATATAGAGTGAGAGCGCTTTAGCCACATACACTCATCTCTTGAGTGGAGAATGGCCACTGACAAAGCTCCAATATATATATATATATATACATATATATATATACTACAAAAGGTCACGGGGCCACTGCCATTGAATTCAATCTTCTTAGATGATTAAAGGGATGGGTGATGCTAGGTAGAGATAGTGCAAGTTTATTTGGAAGATATGTGAGGTTCTGGTGAAATTTTGAGAATTTTTCTGGAATTAGGTCCAGGACAAATGAGATGTTGAGATCATAGTGTAGAGTTTTTAAGGTTATTTAATACTATTGACTATATAATGTATAGTCTAATAGCTATATAATATATAAACTATTGTTCGAAGGACTTTGGATTGGAAGGATTGGATACAATTGATGTTAAAAAATTTTACTGTTCCCCAAAGTCCTAGGCTATAGGTCCAAATTGGTTTCAGGATTGTCTTGTAGACCAGTAATTTTTTGTCAATTGAAAATTGAGGTTTTCTAGTCAGTAATCTGTATAGTTGGCTACACTGTCTGTCAAATTCTTGTCTTTTAGTCTAGTATGTGGGTTACATGTTAGTCTTAGGTCTCAGAGAAAGGAAAGATTGTCGGACAGTGTATGAAAAAGGAAGCTGGATGAAATTAAAGTGGACTGGTGGACAGTATCTGCATTGGAGCATAAAGATAATATGTTTGCATTGGGATTCGTTTACTTTAATGCGCCATATATTATAACAGCACTCAAGCAAGAAAAGATGTCTGCAAATTTAAGGATGCTATTTTGGGATCTGAGCTGGATGATAGGATGGAAGTGTTATCAACGGTAAAGAGGATATAAAGGACAGGACTCGAAACGCTTCCTTCAGGAATACAGGCTTCAACTGGATAGCAATTGGAAAATTCTGTTACGCAGTGAACTGGAAAGGTGAGATCAGAGAGGCAGGAGTGGAGGACTAGATACAAAGACCAGTAGATGGGTTTATAACTTCAATAAAGTAGGCTTTTGTGTAGAAACTCTCAATTTAGACAAGGAAAATTAGAACAAATAAATATTCAAATGAGTTGATTATTATCTCCAAGAGAGGTCTTCTTGGCCTTCTTTCATTCAGAATTATCACAATCATGTCTTTCTTGTTTAGAAAGAATTTAAATAGAGTATTTCCCATTAATTGAAAATAAGTTCTTAATTTTCATCACTAAATCTTCTTCTTCTTCAACTTTCTCGTTGTGTCTTTCAGAGTTGAGTTAGGTTAATCCAACCCAGGATATCCATCTAGCTCTGTCTTTTGCAAGAGTTGTCGTCTCCTGCAGTGTCTTTCCTCTCGCTTGTCCCAACTTCGAAATATAGCCATTATAGCTGTCATGGTCTTCTTCTAGGTCTAGTGTCTAATGGTCTATCTTCCATAATAACAAATTTGCGTGGTCATAATCAGGGCTCAACCTGATCATAATCAGGACTCATCCTGAACACATGCCCATACCATCTCAACTGTCTTTTATCCAGGGTCTCCTTCATAGCAGGAATGTTTAGTTCTTCCTTTATAGTTTCATTCCTGATTCTGTCCCAGAGTGTTTTAGAGATCACTCAGCGCAAGTATTTCATCTGGGCTGCAGTTATTTGGCTCCAATTGTTGACCGGGAGGATCCAGCTCTCTGCTTCATACAGCAGAACAGCCATGTATAAGGCCCTTGAAAATGTGAAGCTTCACATGTTTATTTACGTCTCTCTTTCCTACGACCGTGGTACTAATGGAATTGTATACACTATTAGCTTTTCCTATCCTGTGGGATATTTCTGGTTGGACTTTTCCATTTCCACTGATCACAGTTCCAAGGTAGGAGAACTCATTCACGACTTTAAGCTCCTCATTATTGCATGTTATATGAACTTGATCGGGCTCTCGCCCTACTTGTAGGATTTTGCTTTTTTTGGCATTAATATTCATATCCTACCTTCCCAGTTCTACTTCTCAAACTATTAGGGCTTGCTGGAGGTTATTGTCTTCGGCATATTTATTTGTGTCAGTATAGTTCTCATATTCCGGGGTGAAAAGCTGCTTGCTCATTTTCCAGTTTTCCCTCAACTAATGACCATAGCTTCTTTTTTAAAATTGAGGTATATATTTTATATATGGCCTACGAGACATATTGGTCTATAATTATTACACTCGCTTGTACTTTCCTTCTTGTGGATAGGTATGATAATGTTGTATTCCCATACTTTAGGAATGTTCTTTTCCTCATAAATTTTTTGGAAAAGGTTCTGCAGTACCTTATTTATCTCCCTTCTGGCATACTTAATGAATTCCGTAGAGATTTTGTACATTCTTGCTGCTTTCCCAAGCTTATGTCTCTATATGGCCACTTCAACTTCATCTACCCATATTATATCTAAATCTTGCTCGATATCTTGTTCATCTGGATTGGAAATCGATTGTTGAGAGTTTGTTGTTTGCTCAGCAAATATTGCGCCATAGTGCCTTTCAAATCTTTCTAGTATGAAAGCAGTATCGGTTACTATATCTCCATTTTTGTTTCTCACATTTCTAATGCTTTTACCTCTATTTCCTCAAAGGCCTTTAACTTTTCTCCAGAACTTTTTAACGTTGTCTCTATAATTCTGGTTCTCTTCCACATCGTTCCCAAGAATTTCTCTTAGACTCTTGAAGAATTTCTCACTAACAACGTGCTTTGAGATATTATTCTTATGAACATAAGTAGACCAATTTTCCTGAGTCTTATATGCCATATATTCTTTGCAAGCTTTTTTTTAGTTCGTCACTGAACATTTTACTTATTCGCCATCAATTTTGATTTTCTTCTTAGTGTATATCTCTGTAGCAGTCTCCAGCTTACATCACTAAATCAGTTTGATTATTTTTAATGATAGTTAGTGAACCTCATCACTTCCTTCAACATTTTTTTTTATTTTTACACTATTGGACAGCCCTCCTGAAGAGCAACAATGTAGATTGAAACGTAAACCATGAATATTTTTCACTTATCATGTGTGGGACTTCTTTGACTGCATTTCCAACCAACTTCTTCTTAAATATTTCAATATAAATAGATACCTCTACTATCAATATTCTTCAGTGAATCAAGCAATGTTATTTTAAATCATATGATCAGTCAATATTACAATAACAACACTTTATACATATTCAACTTGCTGGAAAGTGCACCTAACTTGTAAAAAATCAATCACACTCGGCCAGCTTTAGCATACTAAGAACAGTGTGGCTGACCTATCATCCATATGTGACACTACTATAGATTTACCAGATAACCATATCCTGAACAGTTCCTTTCAGGTTGATATTGCTAATATAGATTTGGAAACACTGTTTCTTCTCCAATTCTGTGAAAAATGTGATCAATCAGAAATGATAATTGTGAACTAGTTTTCACTTTATTTATAACTTTAATAATTGATTAAATATTAAACCCAATCAATATAACAGAATTTAAGCAATGGTTTATTGAAAAGAATAACCAAAATCAATAAATAAGCTCAACCACTAAATACCTTGAGCCCAACAAATTCTGCTATGCCTTTACCAAACGATTTGGCTCCTTCAAAACACTGAATAGTAGATGGTAGGGTAATTTGAATCCCTAAATTTTCTTTGGTTAATAGGTCCAATACTTCCCTTGTAATGTGTGGTATACTTCCTCCCTAACAAAAAAAGAAGGAATACTTAGTAATTACAGATTCAAAGTCATTAATAACTGCACAATACGTTAAAACAATATTGGTTACTTTAGTATAAAAAAGCAGTAATGGAGTTTCTAAAACAACTCCCGGTAGCCTGGAAATATTGGTTAATTTCCCTTGTCTGGCTCCGGTATTAAGTACACCGATGATCGAAAACTTCATAACTGTTTTAGAACAAAAAATTGCAAAAAAAAAAAAAGGAGACTAATCTATTTTATTATAAATAAATCAACAGTAAACAGAACTCATGCTCGGAAGGTTATACATTGTAAATAAAGGGTTATGCATTTGACATCGATTACATAAGCATAGTTTTAGTATCGATTAACAGATTTATTTTATTATGTGATTTATATTTATGTCTTTTTAATCAGCATTACTAATCGAGGAGAGGTTTAAAAATTTTATGATCATTTTAGTTTTTCATTAGTGGTCTGTTTCATCATCAGTTGGTGTAATTCAAAGATTTTTAAAATACTTGTTTGAAACGATAACAATCTTCGATCCTCACATCTACACATGTAAGTTATCAGCTGTAATTTATCATGGATTTGATTTCCACGTGCCTTTCAGTTTGATGGTTGGGAAAAGAGATAATTATGATCCTTCTGTATTATCAGCTTTTAATGTTTAATAAACGTTGTTTCTTTTTTTATTATTATGAATAAAAATCCCTATAAATGCTATTGTAAAAAAGTATTGTTTCAGTATTTAAATTTTATTGTGCACCAAATTCTAATTTTATTTTCTAAAACTCGTTTGCGGTTGTTTTTCGGATTTAACGCCTTTATTTATTAAAACTAGAACAGGACGGGTGAGGTTTGAATTTTTGTAATGTAACAACTGTCATTGTTTAGTTTATTATTTATATTTGAAAACATTTAAGCCAGTAAAAATTGTTTAGTTCTATATCAGAAGGGTGTAAGAAATACAATAACTGAAATTACGTTTTCTGATAACAGGTATTTTAAAGCAATTTTTGCATTATATCTTTTTATAGAGGAAAGCTATTTCACCCTTTTGTGTCATGTATTATTGGTCCTAAAATACTAAAATTTAATACTTTTTGTTATCTTAAAAATAGATAAGAACTACCTTATCTTAAACATTCATCAAAATTAGATAATCAGATAACTTTTATCACAAGGTCTAAAAGAGAATCTGTCTCCTGTCAAAGAATTATAATTTATGGCATTTTCATGCACCCAAAATGACTGCAGTTCAGTTGCATATATTAATTCTTTAGGTTCATTGTAGAGAAATGTATTTTTTTAACTTTCTTGCATGGTTTTTGTTAGAAATGACATTCTATTGATAAAATTAACTGATTGTGCTCTGTTTGATATAATAGTGTTAAGTTTGAAGTGTAACCAATGCTAACACAAGAATGAAATATTTTCCATTTATATTTTGTGAGTACTGTTTATTGAAAATCAGTTTGAAACTGTTAGATGATTTTTTTTCTAATATTGTTACGCTCTTGGGCACTAGCTTATCTCTTATTTTAATTCTATCTTCAGAGCAAAAAATACAATTAATTCTCTTCCGATTCTAGTTTTGTAAGTTTCTGTACTATAATAAGATACTGTTGGCTTATTAAATACGAGTTCTTATTTTTATTCAAATTAGTTGTTTGACCTATATGGCAGATAAGAAAGTTTGTTAAAAATGTTTTATCATTAAAAAAAATTTTCATTAAAACTACAATTTATCTCTGTGGTGTTGCAGTTAGGGCTATTTCTTTATTTCTTCTTTTTTTTTTTTTTTTTAGGAAAGGTTTTCTTTAATTCTTTGGGATCATTAATTTATATTTACCCAGGCACTGTTGTTTTTCTATTTCTAACTTTTTCATTTTGTCGTTTCTGATCAAATTTACTGCATTATTTCTTTGAACTTAATCAATTGCTGTAGAAGTGATATAAATAATGTTATCATAAAATAATATACCATTTTATACGTGATATATAGTAATATACGATCAACAATTCATATATATTGTATTTTTAATGTCCCAGCAACAAAATTCAACAGATATTTGTCATTGAAAAGTTAATAGTAACTTTGGCTCTACTAAGGACACCAATTTGATTGATAAATATATATCCTTGGTTTATTGCAAAAGTCATTAAGTGGTATTTCATAATCTTATATCATTTTAAACTATAATGAATTTCTCCTTTACAAAATCAGAAAATTTTTCACTTATTATTATATTTTATATATAAATGGGCTTGCTTCTTTCTTAGAGTGTGTCAAGCTATAATTGACAATATCAAGTAAATGGTTTAGCATCTGGGTTGATATCATCAAAAAAAACATTTAAAAAACTTCTATTCAAGAACTAAATATAACAACAAATGTGAAACCAGAAATTGTTTAAGACTTTGATTTGGTAGATTTAACAGGAAGTGAACTATCAAGCTTTCAAAGTTTATCCACTTCTTTTTCTTCACAATTGTGTTCATTCAGTTCTGATTAGAAGAATTCTGTAACTCCATTTTGAACCTCATTCAGAGAATTTGGGGGCTTTCCTTGAAGATAATGAGCCATTGGCTGGAACATTAGACACGGTTGGCCAGACGCACCTACCATACACCCTTCTCCCACATCCCAATAAATTGTATATAACAACTGAATTTTACTTTAATTTTTTTTACCTACACTACTTATGTTTCTCATACCTTGTTATTTGGTTCTTTTATTAGCCCTGATGATGGCCTGAACTTCAGGTTGAAACGTCGGCTAATGTCAAAATAAATAGATTATTTTTGCCTTCTTATTTGACTGATCACCCCAACTATTCTTCTCTCCATTATTCACGACAGTCAACCATTTACCAATTATAAATTGCATATAGTTGTGGTTTTTGTAACTATTTATTTTAAAAACCTATGTTCCCATAAAAAAAGTGACCACACTGTCCCAAAATGGCGTTCAAATATAGTAAAGTAGATTGACATCTTTGACTTGAGTTAGTTTTCTGTCGCTGATATTCGCCATTTGGCTTAATTTCATCATAATTGATTTTTTATTAAAGCTGAATAGTCTAAAAATAATACATAAAAAAAATATTTGTCCTTGACAATAAAAACGACCAGTAAAGTCAAGTTTTTCAAGTCATTCAAACTAAAGTTAAAATTCAAGCGTCTTTTGTAAATAAACAGCCAACAATAACAAAAAGCATTCCGAAATAAAATATTTGAAGCAGTTAGTTGGAAAATAAACTTAATCAACGGAAAAACGGCACTAACATAGGTCTAGAGTCCTATGCCACATCATGAAGTACTCATGAATGGCGTAGTTATAGTGCTGTAATGATTTTATTAATGAAAAAATATTAATACAGTAATTTAATTGTCAATTTTTTGCTTTTCAAAACTTTACCTATTTTGAAAGCTCGATAGTTACCTTCCTGTTGGATTTAGAAATACATGTTAGATAATTTGAAGCTTTTTAAGATTGAATATAACCATTTTTTATCTATGTCGCTTTAAAAAGGAGGTATTTAGCTTAAACCAAAAAAAAGTTAGAAATTTCATTGGTTTTTGGAGCACTGCAGTGAACCTACAAAGCTTTCAAAGGCGGAAACTTTGATTTTTTATAGTCACTACATACCTAACAATATAAAAAAGAAATTTGAATTATCCGACCTTTTGCAAGGTAGACTCCTTTATTTGCTATTCTGACTTGGCTATTTCTGCTTTTTCATATGTTAGATATTAATTTTTCTTTAATCTTTTAGGTTTTCAAGAGTATATTATAAATCTTATTTCCGAAAAATTGTTTCCAATTTGTTTATTACTATTGATAGTGAGAGAGGATTAATTATTTCAAATAAACAAAATTAATGGGAAGCCATATAAAAAATTTAGCATTCATTCTCTCTCAGACTATTTCAGTAGGGAAAGACTAGGTAATATTAAAGACCTTTTAATTGTACATTGACATGACAAATTTAATCAAAATTATTCGAGTCTTTTTTCTCAAGAAAATTGTAAATAATATGGCACCTCTGATAAGTCAATTTCAGAGAAAAAGTTGCTGTACCATCACTGTAGGAGTAGCCAGAAGGGGGTTTTATGGAACTTTTGTATCACTGGCATATATTTTGAATACATAATTTCAGTTTCTTACACTTTTTTGTTTCTAAACTAGATAGTTTCCACACACCCACAGCAGTTTTTATACACACTTTAAGGTCCACAGAGTCATAATAACGACTGTGGACCTTAAAGTGTGTATGGCCATTGAAAACACAGATATTATCCCTGATTATATAACTTAGATACAGCAAGTGAAAGTAAAAATTATTATCCTGGCATTAACATGTTCTTACACTAATTAAATGATTAAGATTAGTTTCAGATTAGATTATGCCAACAATTGATGTTCTTTTCAAGATAAATTGTTAATCTTAAGATATTAATTTTCTACTCAATGCTCACCATGCAGGTTGTTATAATCAATATCCGCAAAGTAATTTTATTCCTATTTTTAACCAAAGTGATAAGTGTATTAAATTAAATAGTTCAACATAAAGAAATCTTGACTAATTAAATCATTTCCATTTACTCAATGTGTTTTATAAACTTACTGTAATAAATAGATAGTAAGCAGTTTTTTTTTTACTGCTTAGCTTATTTATATAATTTATTTTGACATGGGTGCTTTTGAATGCATAATGTATTAAAATATTTATAACCTAAAACATTCCCTTATCAACCTCCTGTAGTATTTTTTTATTTAAGGGTATTATCTTCATAAATTTAAGATTCCATCAACAAAGCTCCTCCCTCAGTCGGTTCCTCCACTTCTCCCTGTCCACCGCTTACTCCTCTGTCAGTCCTCGGCCTACCATACTCTCAACCACAATATCTCTCCAAGCTCGCACAATGCCTTCCTCTCCTTCTCCTAGCCTTTGCCTCTCACTCAAATCCTGTATTTTATTTTTCTGATTGAAAAATATATCTTTCGAGAGTGAGAGAAAAATAATTTATTTTGACTGTAAATCAAGGGCTATCCTCACTCTTCTACTTTATTCCTGATCCCCCATTCTTTCTTAGCACGATATTCAGTAACTGGTCAAGATGCAGATAGATTGGAAGGAGAATTGTCTAAGCAACATTTAGCACAAAACGTATCTTCTTGTAAAATTAAACTCAGAATTTTGTGTTTTATTAGGCAACTTAACAGGATTACATATGATTTTTTTAGTTTAGAAAATAAAATTATCTTTATTGATATGCATATTAATAATT